CAGCACCTATTCAGCACCTTCAGCACCTGCTCAGCACCTCCGGCACCTGTTCAGCACCTTCAGCACTTTATAGTAAATTTTGGTGCTTGGAGCCAGCACTTTCCCCCTTGTTTTAACTACTTTTCTACCATTTTGTGTTGTCGAGATCATCGGGTCACAAAACGACGAAAAAGATGAGTACGTCGATGTAACGATTATATGCGGAGAGCGTCCAAATTCCATCCGGGGGTGTAATGCTCTCGTTCGAGTGTAAACTATACATAAGATTTGGTCTTAGGGTGCCATTTATTCTCATCATACCTATGGCCTTCATCTTTCTGTCCTTTACATTTATCTTTATCTATCCTTCTTCTTCGTTCTCTCAAATGGTTGAGTATTTAAGCGTGTGCTTTATATGTAATCGAGGCGATTTATGATTTGAAGAGTTAAATAAAGTGTAATATCATCAACACAGGCATCGCTTCTATCTAAAATCGTCACAGTCGAGAAAGAAAAAGAAAAATAAAACTTGCGACCGACTACAGAAATGCTATACTGCGCGTCGTATTAATACAATAATGTTGAATCGAATGTAAAACAAACCCTAGTCAACTCTCCCTAGAAGAATCCCCAGGAAGTCCCCTGACAAATCCCCCGGGATTCACGACAGGGACTCCTCGAGGAGTCGCTGGGGGAGAGCGTATTAGGGAAATAATAAATGTGGAAACTTCGGATTTCATCCGAGAGTTATGTGTGCTGAAAAAAGTACATGAGACATATGAGCCATTCTAGAATATCTGAACACCAAAATTATCATGAGAAACTAGGCAATTTGATTTCTGGATGCAGTTTTTGTGCATTTTGAGACGTTTTTCAGGGGATGTTTCGTTAGAAACCTACGATTTAGTTCAAAACTACTATCAGATTCAGAATCAGCGTTAAAAACTGAGCCCATGTCGCGAATACCGCTTCAATTTTTGCGGTAAACCGCGGTAATTTTAGAAAAGCGGTAAATTTGTATGAAATGGGAGCCGGTAACCGGAGCGGTAATACCGCGGTTAACCGCTAGTTTTTCCGGTACCCTTCTTGTTACCGTCATCATATAGGAAAAAAAGATGCCTAAAATAGCCCGATCAATGACTTTTAGCAACAATTTTTTATAAACGCTCAGCGAACCGGTTGATCGAAAAACACCGGCGGTAAACCGCGGTGTTTCCCGAAACCCCAGGTTTACCGCGGTAAATTTGTGTTGATGGGAGCCGGTAACCGGAGTGGTAACACCGCGGTAAACCGTCAATTTTACTCCGGTTTTTCAACATGGGAGTCGATTTATATATGTTGTGGATAATTCTGAGAAAAAAAAGTTTTTTGAAAAATCCCTGTACTCCCCCTCAGGGATGATCTGATCAAAAATGACAATTTTTTCGATAACTCAGCCATTTCTTGACGGATCCTTTTCATCTTCGAACTCAACCTAGATATTGATGAGACAATTCTGTGCACAAAATTTCGGCTCAATCGAATGTAACTGTGAAGAGTTATCGAATAAATGGACGGCCGGTCGGACACACTAACCGATTTTAGTAGTACTCACTTTTCGAACGAGTGTGTAGTTACAACACAAAGAAAAAGTACACACATAGTAAGAAAGAAAAATTTTCTATTTCAACGAAAGTGGTAAATAGGACAATCTGCTTTATATGTGACCAAACATATTTGAATTCTAAAAAAACAATGTTGACATACTTCTTTTCTCTACGCAACATTTTGTTTTACATAGGTGTTTTCAAGCGCTATTCTTTTTCTTTCAAGATTATTTGCAAAACAGGCTACACACATGTTCGTCATATACCCTTGGCGTTGTTAAATTAGCTACAAGAACGCAAAACAGTCAACAACCAGCATTTAATCAAATACTGTAATTTACAGAATATTTTTCAAATGGATGATATTAATTTGCTACCGTTGTCAGTCGTTCAAAAGCTTGAAGAAGCTGGAATACCACAAGACAGCACAATATTTTATCAAAATGATCGTTGGGTTTATCTAGTACGACAACTCATCCATAATAACAAGAAATATCATTGTCAAGAGCTCGATTCATTAGGGCCTTTTGGTGTGTAGTATCTACGAATCATATTTCTTAATAGGCTTCTAAATTTATTTCCAGATGTTCATTCAGTCGATATTTCATTTGTCTTATCTTCATCCAAATCTCAATACAGCATCAATAAAATTGGACGAAAACAATTAATCGATGGCGAACAAATAATAGGTAGTCATGCTCCTATTGCTCCAATTACTCTTAAAGGATTTGCACGTTCAACAGCAAACATACCAGCTGATGCAACACACTTTTGTTGGCTTTATCCACCTTGTGGTCCATTCGATAATGTTGCTAGTAATTTAGATAACTCGTATGAATTGGATCTGCTCAGAATTGGTGGATTTGCATATTTCATTGCCGATGATAACACTGCTAAAAGCCTTCGACTTATTCTTGTGAACTCATTAGTTTTATCTGCTACCAACGGTCTAACGTTTGAAGGTCCACGTCCTTGGCGAGAAGAATATACGGAAAAATTATGGGCACAAAATCGATTTCAAGTAACGTATTTTATCTTTATATTTCTAGTGAATAATAATGATATTGGTTGTTTAGCCTGTAACTTTACCATCTCTTCGTAAACGAGGTGCACTATACTTTGCTTTTATCAATCCATACGAATCGGTAACCACGGGAAATGATGAAGCATCATGGACACCTTCACAACATGGAGCTTTTGTGTACCTATTTAACGAAGATCATTCACCGCACGTATTCGATTGTTTTTTTTCTGTGTCTGACGAGTGTTTGGGTGTTTCAGCAAGTGATGAACAATGGCAAAGCTATTGACTAAATCATTCTACCAGTATCTTTCATTGGCTAATATACACGATCTAATGTGCTATTTAGTATTTTGCATACACACTAATCTCGCCCTCCGCTTACTAATCAAACTGCAGAGATGATAATCATTGAAAGTAATAATGGTTTTGAAGTATTTGTGTTGATACGATACGCGTATTAAAGTAAAGAAATTAAAATTTGGGTATTCGTCGGATATTATGAAAAAGAAAATTGATTTATCAGGAGAGGATCAAAAGTATATTCTTTTATAACTTATTACATTGGTTTTATCAAAATAAATGCTTCATATAATAGAACATATTGAGAGAATACAATAGTTGTTTTTACATCATTTTACAAAAGAAAATAGAAAGCTGCTCGGTGTAGTACTTATGAGTACTGATGCTACATTTTTTACTGGTTAATAACGAATTCAAGAAGAAAACGATTGCAAATAACGTATTCATTATATGAAAAATCGATATTTTTAGTTAGAATAAAACAGCAGTACTAAAATCAAGACGAATAGTTTGGATTGAAATCAAAATTAAAAGGCATATCAGCAATTTAAATACACAGAATTTTGGCGTTGGCTCATAATTGTTGCAGAAAGTAGTGCCGAAGAGTTTGTTTCAATAGAAGAGTGCTGGCTATTTTCGATTTCACTCAGATTTCATCATTGTATTCTGTTTTATTTGACTCGTATGACAAGATGAGTTCGTATACTTAATCTTATCATTGGTAATTGTTATGAAATATATTTTTCCATATTTTCATTATTTGCAAACTTTCAATTTGATAACAGAAATCAAGTAATATCACTAAGATAAAAATGCACATAGAAACCACCATTGCCATCACTTCTATTCATACGATTCTCACAATTATACGAATGAATCATAAAATAAGAAGATTTTCCTAGTAGAAAAATGTAATAATAATTCTCAGCAAAAATTGTTTTGCAACCAAGAGCAAGATTTTTATTTGATTTATTAAATTAAATGTAACATTCATTCTATCTACTAGCAATGAAACTGTTATTGACGAGATTTAGATTGATGATTTCAAAATATTTTTAGCTGCCTCTGATGATGGTCTAATGTCAGTGTATAAAAAAAATAAAGCTGCGCGTCATTACCGCTCTAATGATAAGAGCTAATATCTAAATATGCATTGAATTATCTATTGATATGACCCAGCCGTGTGAACAATGAAATCCGTAGGCAGAATGAAGCGGAGTACTCGCGAAAATACGCGAGAGAGCATAATCTTTATAAAAAAATCTTCTTATAATCATGTAATTGATAATTATTCTATTTTTAGACTGGCACATCAGCACTTGGCAGAGCATTCAAGTGGGTTAAATCGGATTTCATGAGTAATTTGTCATTGTATACTGTCTCATTACAGAAGAATGTCGAAATTTCTTGTAAAAGAGATTTTCTGTTGAAAGTGAAAGGTTTTATGACCAACGTTTTGGCGCAGCCAAGGGGGAAAAAGCGATTTATGAGTTTCATGATTTTTCTGAGTTTAGCTGATTTAAAATGAGTCTGAGAAAACGAAAAATTTGCTAAACTAACTAAAAACTATTCCAAATCATAAATTATTACTGAAAATCATTCAAAGGCACCGAAACTCACGCAAACTCATTCCAATACAGTTAATTCATATTGATTGTAAGTTGAGTTTTACTGTGGTTTAAATCAGCTTTTTTCCCCCTTGATCGCAGCACTTATATCAAACAGAAGCAAAAAGATATGAAACTAATTATATTACGTAGAAAAATTCAATGCATGGATATTTTCCTTTTAATCCTTTATTTCAGAATTTTCACTTATGTACGTTGATATGATCAAGGTAATATCGCGAAAAGACGGTAAATATTGTCATTAATAAATGCTTTAATATCAATTTAAGAGAATTTGACTAACTATTGATTGATAAAAAAGACTATTATTCAATTTATTGTTTTATTTCTAAAATACTATCAAGTACAAAGTCGATAGGTTTAGAAAGCTAAAATTTTCTTTGTAAATCGTTTCAAGTTGCAGTTCAATTGCATCTAAAAAATATGTTAATATCTTCATAGATCTATAAATATGTTTTCTAGTAGCTTATTACACAATAGATACTGCGTAGTCGAATGCCATGTCTGGAGATCATCTAAATATATAGGTGAGTATGATCTTTTTGTCATATATATTGCGTCGTAAAAATTCGAATATTAGTGGTACAAAAACATATTTCTAGTCCATTAAATGCTTTCATTTATTGTTTTAATTCTACGTGAATCGATATATTCTGTTAAGAAAATTGCATTAAGTAGATGTGCTGTGAAAAATGTTTCTTATTTTTTTTGACACGTAATTAATTTCTTCTATCTTATTAGATAAATAAAATGTAGAATAATAATTTTGTCTACTTAAAACTAGAATTAAAAGTATGACCTATGGCTATTTCAATCCTTACTATCTATCCAATGACTTATAAAAGCAAAAGCATTTAAAGACTTTTATTTATTTTATTATAAAAAAGAGCGAAAAAATCACATTTTGAATGATCAAACGGACATTAATTTGGATGTATTTAAAATTTATTGATTGAAAAAATATTCTAACGAAGAAAATGTGACGATTTTCATTTTTAATCAAAATCATGAAATCAAATTGATGAAAATGGTCGTTTTATTCAAAATACATCAAAATTAATGTCCGCTTCATCGTTTTAAAATATTCTTTTGATTTCTTAAATGATTTTATGAATAGTACTTTTTTAATCATCGTCAAGGCTAAAGAGCTGAAGGTGTATATGTTCATTAGATTTTTTCCGAGCTGTTTGCATCTATTTTTGTGCACGTCAATAAAATTTCTATGTGAATTTCGATCAACAAATTTTCCTAGGAAACATATACATTGAAGGAAGCTGTCAGGGCATGTTTGGGTTGTCGGGAGAAAACAATAGTGTAGCTTTCATTTATATATTATAATGCATTCAAGAAATATTGAACTAATAAAGGTAAAAAACGACATGTCCAATAACCTGAAATTCCGCGTGAGTCTTCATTATTCATATTTCATGAGTTTTTGCTGAAAGATTACGTTACAACGCACTATATGACACAGGCAATGTTTTAAAATTTTTACTTTCCAACGAAAAGACAAAAACGAATAGTTTGCTATCTCGTGAAATAGATCACTCATGATAAATGTACGTTTTTCATATAATATTTAAAATCTCAATTACAAAGCAAACTTTCACATCCTGCATCTTAACATGTTCATTCGAACACAGAAAAAGGAAATTGATTAGTTACAGTAAAATTTTTTCGAAATTTTTGGCAATCCATGCATCTGAGCAATGCACAGCATCCCAGTCTCTCGCATACATGTGTTATTGCTGGCAAACTTTATTGAGCAGAGCTTTCCTTAAACTTTGGTTTCCATTCACAATCATTGAAACCGAGTGGTAAAGAGAGAGCTTGTTTTATAAAAAAAAATATCAGAGAATGGGCGTAAGGTTGCAATTTTTCTAGGAGAGAAGAAAAAAACATTTTCTTTAAAATATATAAAAGGTGAAAGTTTTTAATAGTTACTCGAAACAAATAGCATTTTTGTTTTGGACTGAAACAACTGTTTCATCTCTTACACTGTCGTATCACCTAAACTGTGACCAGAACTATATAGAAAATCAAGTAGCAAAGAAGGTAATTGATTTTTGTAAAATTGTTCATTTTGATTTATGTTCTTTAGTTGCGACAAAATTAGGTAGCAGAATTTTGATAATGAAAATGTGACTATTTGTTGTACATCGATTTCATCGTAGAAAATATATAAAAATCGATATTTAGAAATAGTTTCTCGTTAATATTTATCTATTATCTAGTCCGTACAACCGATTGATCTCACATTAATGCATAACAATGTTGCCAATAAAAGTTAGTGCGGAGTGTAAGAAAAAATAGGAAATCGTTTTTTTTTTAATAGTATACGCAAATAATTAAATAACATATTTATTGTCTCTTTTACTTTGATCATCATGGTAAAAGATCACTGGAATTTTTGTGTTCAATTCTATGTCAAAGTGCTGCAATCCAATTTTTTAACCTTCGGCGTCTTTCTTTTAAATAGAATTCTCTTTTTGAATATGAAGCACATAGAAGTGCTGCATATTCAGAATTTAATGGTTTTCATAGGTTCAAATTTATATTTTCTAAAATGAGTGGAGCGACTTAGTTTATATATAGAAAATTATCTTTTTTCTTATGAGTTATAAATAAGTAAACATGAATTTAAACCATTTTTATTATTCTAGTTAATTAATCATTTATATCAGATGAAAATAGCCGTGAAAAATATCAAGAGTTGCACTGAATGGATGAAGTAAAAGATTAATCCAATAGAATTTCTTATCAGCACTCATATACTTTGGTAGACAGTACATTTGTTCTTCATTGAAAACTTTCTTTTTTTCTACAAAAACATTTCTTTAAAAACTTTTTGCTAGTCTGTTGAGTTCTGTTAGAAAACGAATGTTATTTTTCGCAAAAGATTTCAGTAAGTTTCTCGTGTAATTGATACAGTTTGCTGTAAATCATTCCTTATCCTCGATCATGACACAATCTCTTACTTATTCGATGATTTTTAACATACAATAATTATGCATTAGCACCTCACACTACTGTTGAGACTTTATAGATATATTTCACATTTGAAATAAATTCTCATATTTGATTCGCAGCTAACATTTATTTTTGTCTTTATTTACTTTAATCCAAACGAAATAGTTTATTGATTAATTCTACAGTTAAATATCCAAACGTGAGGATCATTGTCAGTGTTTTATCGACAAATATGCGTCATAGGTGATAAAAGAAAAGAAAGAAAGACTTTATGAAACATTTTTGTATATAGGTCAGTGATTTGAAGATTTCTGCAGATAAGATACCATAGAAAATCTTTAATTTTTAGTAAAATTCTCTATCAATGTAAGCGAAACTACTGGTAGTTGTTTGGATTTGATAGCAAAAGAATAAATGAAATACACTGAATTCTCGATAAATAATCATGATGAATTCATTTAATTAACAGACAAGATCTATACATATATTGCTCGCTGAATATTATTCAAAATTTTGGTTTTTTCGGAATACTCTTTTTTATTTTTATTAACGATATCCGTGCGTTTTTTCTCGTAGAAAATTTATTGTAATTGTCAATTCAAGCTAACAAAAGCGTTTCATTTGCTTTCTTATTCGCATCCAACTAGTACATCTATCTTCTTTGTAAATAACAATAGTCTAAAGTTGAAAGCTCTACTTTTGCCTATTAGTATTGTAAGGATAGTTGTTTAGATAAGTCTTCAAGAAAAAAGATTCTACTTTTTTCTAACTCTTTCGGTCTCATACGGCATCCAACAATGACAATTTGCATGTGAATAGCTTAAAAGCGTTCAACCAAGCATAAATAAGTAGATTCTTTGTACTTTCTGTTATTTAGCATAGAACTTTTGCATGTATCTATTATGCATCATTCTATGATTAAAATCAGATATACTATATTGCTCTTTTATCATGTTATACAAATGTTTGTTCATCGAATGAAAAAAAAACATCAACTGTTATAATAGTTGAATTCAATAAAACAGACATAATAATAATTTATTTCAATGAATAATGTATTAAAATATTGTTGACTTATTATTCATTTTCTGTATTTGAGAAATATCCAAGTGTTACTTTTTTCCTCTTTTGAATTTCGACAATAGAGAATCTTTTCAATACTAAATTGCTCAAACCTTATAGCCGGCGCATCCAACATTTTGCTTGTTGTCTTTACTTAAGCACTAGCGGATTCCGAAAAAAGTGCACATAATAGTTCTCTTTTTTTATCTTGACAGAAGCTGATAAAATGTTTTCATGACAAAAGTGTAAATGTTTGCTTAATATTTGAGTAAAACCAGAGATTATATTTAATGCATGACATCTATATAAAAGGTACCATTTAAGCCGGAATAAAGAAAACGGAGCGAGGGGAAAAAGCATTCTACGAGTGTCAATATGTCTTCAACATCACGTTCAAAACTTGATTTTGTACCAATAGAATCAATTGCTGCGTTTGTCTTTATTGGCGTAATGATTCTCGTTGGTCTCATTGCACGATGTCTTGCAGTAAATCATTCAACTGTCCGTAGTGCACAAAGTATCGATTTAGTGATATATAAACCAGCACCCAAACCTGTTCCAGCACCAAAAGTTAGACGTTCGTCACTAGCCGAAAAATTTCCTTCAAATAATGATAGTCGAGATCAACTAAGATTATCAGATGACTCAATAACACCAACTCGAATTCAACGAGGACCAAAAAATCTTTGAATGCTATAAGATACATCTAAATTATACGATAATTAAGAACCTTCTCTATAATTGGTGTTAATATTCTATTTTATAGTTTCTTTGAGCAATCGTCTTGTTTTATATTTTATATTTTTCTCATGTTCAACATATAATTATATGCGCTTTCGTCATTGATGTATCATGTTTTTTTTTGTTGTTGAAATCTATAATGTGTTCAATAGAATTCGATTTTCTTCTAAGTAATGATGAGGAAAACTGCTTACGTTATACGTTGATTACTTTTTCTCTCAATTGTTTTCCAGAAGATCTATTCTCATCATCTTGTTAGTAACATTTTAGTAAGTAATGCTATTGCCTCAAATTAATATAATTACTACAACGATATTGCTTTTAAAATCTTGCTAATCAAATAAATTTACATGCTGTCTCGACGAAGGTAGCACTATTCATTGCTTACAAAATATGATGTTAAATAGCTTTCTGAATGCATATTTATTTAAATCGTCACGCGTTGTTCTATTTAAATAAACCTTTATTTTCGTAATTGAAAAGAATACAAATTTCTTTCATGTTCAGATGGGAAACAGTTACATCAGACACAGTCAATGATTGTTCCGTTCCATTTTTGTCGATTTTTCCGTTGGTGAACACAGGCGACAGTCGTCTCCGATTGAAACATCCCATTAAATTGTAAAAATCTAGATAGTATGATCAAATTAATCATGTCTAGTGTCCTAACATTTTCGATTCGATCTAGAATTGATAAAATCCTACAACCGGATCCGAGCATTCTATTCCTGTCTGTTAGTTCTTACTAGTATCCGGGTGATGTTAACCTTTCTTTATTAACATAGAACATTTAAAGTGAAAGATAGAAGCTAACAATATTTAGCGTAATAAAGCTTTAAAAAAAAGGGTTATTTAGTAGAAACAAGAAGCCCAGTGCGAAAGCAAATTAAGAAAAAAAAACAACAAGGAAAGTTTCTCATAGAACGGAAAAAACTATATAATTAGAATTAACATCATCTATGAATTAAAGAAAAAAACAAGTAGAAGCATATATAGATGATAGTCATTATACAATCTCAATCTAAAGAGATTTCTTAGCCGTGTGCTAAAAATCATGTCTTAATAGATAATGTTGAAGTTGTCGCTTCTTCTTCCCACTAAGCTTTTCTTTCAATTTCTAGCGAAAAATATCAACCAGAAGCGCCAATAATATCTCGAATCAACGCGAGTTTTTCTTTTCATTATAATCGTCACTTTCTCTATTACTTGTTTGAAACAAATTACACAAGCTAAATTTGTGATTTACCATGCGCTTAAATAAACCGGAGTTTGTTATTATATTTGCAGTAAATCTATTTTATAGATGAATCTGTTTGTTGTAATTTGCCAGATCGAAGAAAAATCCTTTAGAATATTCTTCATTTTCTCTCGGTTAACACAGTTATTAAATCTCAAATATTCATCGAATCTGGCCAGTACACGAGAAGACTGAATATCTCATAATTATTAATGTGACGAAAACGTTTTGCAGACTATTATCCCTGCTGTTATTCATCAAGTATAAAAATTATTTATGATGCTTCACAGTAAAATTCGCGTGTCAAAATGAGCCATAAAATATTGACAAGGGAAACATAGATCATTAGCCTTCCTATTGTATCTTATTTCTAAAATTAATGTATTTGTTAAAGAATCTATTGTGCTAAAACAAAAAATTTGGTCTTAAAACTATTAGAAAATGTGTTATTCCCAGGACAAACGGAATGATAAAAGTACCAAAACAGTATTTTCCGTTCTATATTAGTTTCATTTTCTCTCTTATTGTTTTGACAGATGTTATAAACTAAGAAGCGATATTTTTTATGGAGACTTTATTTTTCAATACTAAGTGCAACAAAATAATCCACCAATCATCTATTTAGATAATTATACTATTAAAATACAATGCATTAGCGGATCAAACAAGAACTATAGATTATTTTACTTAAATTTACTCGACACGAACAGTTACATAATCTTGTATTTGCCAAGAAGTATTCCGCTTCTATTTTCAAAACTATAAATATAAGTAAGCGAATTTCAAGAAACCGTTTTTCTTTTGCTTTAAAGTGTATGGACCATAGAAAGCTTATGTTTGATGTGAACACGGGCTGTGAAAGAAGAAACACTTCTAAGATATTTGAATCAAAATACGTTGAAGAATTATTCATATATGAATTTGATGTGCATCTTCTTACATTTTTATATCCTCTGTGCTTGCTTGAGGATTGTGAATCATCATCGAAGTTTCATAAGCCCCCCCCCCTCCTCTCAGAATCGACTTGCCACTTTGGAGTATAGGTTTGAACTGAAACTTTGACGAATGAATGGGCCTAGTGAGAAACGCTTGTGGTAAAAGTTTCAGCCTTGTATACTTTACTAAACTAGACTTATGACTTCTTTTATAGCTTCCACGAGAATTGCTATAACTTCATGACTATGAGAGCTATCGAGGTCGGGTCGGCTTTAAATTAAAGCTAGCCTCCATACACAAGTTTTCATCACATAGAGTTTTGAAATTCCCTTCTGTTCATTTTTTATAAGTATTTTACTCGGTATGACTACCAAAGTAGGTATAAAAAAACGCACTAAATCGAACTTTTCTCAGTCCAGAAATTCAATATCGAAAATCCGTCTGATAAAAAGTTAGCTATAATTGAGACCTTTAAAATAAACAAAAATATCAGGGAAAGCTAAAACCAAACGAAAGTTATAGCAATTTTTCTGCTTGAGACCCATGTTTTAAGACCAACATTTAGACATTTTTAGAAAGGTGTGGTGTGTGAGAGTATGGGAGATGAATGAGTATTTCTTCAATAAGTCTGTCAAAACTTAACTTTTTTTTCAAAAAATGATATATATATTCTGAAAGAGGAGACCACGGGGAATCTTTCTATGATAAAAACTCGATTTCTGTTTTTTTTCGAAAAATCGGCTTTTCTGAGGGGCGGGGGCTTAAAATAGAAGTAACGCTCGTCGCTTAGACTAGCTTGACCCTCGACTGTATGTCGTGCTCTTCCGATATAATTTATTGCTCTGCAAACTTCAACAACACTACTCTTTAGCATTTGAAAAAGAATGGATACGACTTTACACCCTGACATAAAAATGGATGCTAGATTACTGTATCTTATACACATTTTCACGCTTCTCTCTGTTCTGAATTCAACTGAGCACACTGTGAGTTAAGGACCAACAGGTAGCTAGAATAGGTACAATGTATACAATATCAAGCTAACATAGGCGGCGAAACGATTTCAATCAAGGGTAGGCTCCATTTTCAGAGAAATGATGTCAGGAAGATAGCGAGAAAATGACGCTCTTCATATTTTTTCAATGCTAAACGCCATACGTCTTCTTGCTAGATTTTGATTCTGTATAAGTATGATAACTTTATAGTGCTTTATTTTTTTGAGATAAAACAAGAAATAACGAAGTATCACAAGACAACTACTTAAAAAATACACAAATCAGACAGTAGTATGAAAACACTCTTTCGAAAGACTGCAAAAAGCTACCTATCCTTCAAAAATAAAGACTCTCTTGAGTGCTTCGAGGAAGCTAAACCTTCCATTGAGTCAAGAAAATTGAAAACAACGAGGGTATACTTCCCATTGAATGCAGTTCCCCGATCAGCAACTCCTAAAAGTAATTTATCCTTCAGTGCATTTTAACACTCGAATTCGATGATAATCTTGAACAATTTTGAAACCACTTATATCTAGATAGTCGAGGTATATTTATGCATGTCTACTGCTTCTGACCATTCTCTCCATCAGTAAAGCAGCACCTAGCCGTTCGTCGGCGCCACTCATGCCTAGCAGCTGCCTCTCTGCATAATCTCCATACTACACAGTACTCATATTTCACAATCTACAACCCACTGCAGTTTTGTTAAACTCAGGAAAAGCAATCGATTCTTCAGACACGAGCTCTTCACTTGAAACTGTAAATTATAATATTTATTCATGAAATCTATTTTTAACAAAGAGTGCTCCGTGACCATTTCTGAGAACCTGCATTGAAACAAAAATCGCCACCCTCAACATCGAATATAATCAAACAGAAAGCCGACTCCCATTTCAATACTGAACACTTCCCAGATGAAATAGATTTAAAATATTCCCATTAGAAACTAGTTGATCATCAGCGTATCCGAAAATTATATTAACGGTACGCTTCATCTCAGAACAAAATTCAGTTATTCCTGTATGATTCTTCACAATCTCGAAGACACTGTTTTTCTAGGAAAATCAAAGACAAAACAGTCATAGCCAAAATGAAGTACAACTTCTGAGACCTCGATTATCTATGACCAAACTAGATATAGGTTAAATATCTTCCAAAACATGATAAGCTCTAGAAAATTCGTTTCGATATTTTAAAAATGTGATTTCGGATTCAGATTCCGCGGCCCCGAAAACCCATGGTAAAGTTTCATAAAAAAAACTGAGAAGCTTAGAAATAATGTTAACGATAACCGATATTCTTTTGACCTGCCACAAACATACAAATGCTTTTTTTTTCATATGACCGTCCCTACAGTCGAGGGGAAAATATTTTCTAACATTATTATGTAGCATAATAGTTCAATTGCATTAATCTTTACTCACACGAATAAATCTCGAAAAATCCAGCTAAAATTATAGTAGCAAAACTACGACCTCATTAAAAAAAAATTAAAATGCCCTAACAATCCTACAGGCAGTTCTTACATATAAAACGTCGGATATATTTAGGAATAATAACGAGGCAAGTTTTATTAAAAAGGTGAGAAAAATAAAAACTAGAATATAAATTTGTGGAAGATTAGATTGATATTAGTTATAATAAAAATATGACATTGTTACGTCAAAAAGAAATGATACTTCTTCACTAACGAATACATACTTGATTCGTTAGACAGTATAATCATAGTTATACATAGATATGTACTTTAACCTTTAACATATATTGAAATACTACGAACT